AATTCACTTTGAAATTTACTCATCTTTTCCATTTGTGTACTCTGGCTTTCTCTCAACTGTTGGAGACTTCCTTTTTGTTTATTTTTTTCTCCTCCAACCACTGCTGTAGTCTCTCTTCTTGTTTCTTTTCTCATTCTTCTTTCAGCATTTCCATATGTGCTCTGTATAGTGGTGTTCTACATCACATATTAAAAAAGGATTAGTTTTATCAATGAACCACACAGCATTTCCATATGGGCTCTGTATTGTGATGTTCTACATTCTACAGCATTTACATATGTGCTCTGTATTGTGGTGTTCTACATCACATATTAAAAAAAGGATTAGTTTTATCAACCCAACAAAACAGCATTTCCATATGTGCTCTGTATAGTGGTGTTCTACATCACATATTAAAAAAGGATTAGTTTTATCAATGAACTACACAGCATTTCCATATGTGCTCTGTATTGTGGTGTTCTACATCACATATTAAAAAAGGATTAGTTTTATCAACCCAACAAAACAGCATTTCCATGCTTACTTTGTAATGTGGTGATTTTTTATTACTTTGAACATGTATATTATTTCGTAAGTGAAAGACATTGAAATTTAAATGGCATGTGAGGTAATTTTAAATTACTGTTTGCTTATTATAATTATTATATAATAGCATGTTTAGGGTATTAAATATTTATCAGGTTATAGAAACAGTGAATGAAGAAGAGGATCGACTTTTGAATCAAATAGCAAAAGCTCAAAGGTTGCTGGATAGAAACAGACTTAATGTGAAAGGAAATATTTTATCAGGTGAGAAATTTAGAGAAAGCTTGCTTTTACTGAGAAACATATAGAAAGTTTACTTTTACTTAGAAACATAGACTATGGATGTATGCTTTTACTGAGAAACATATAGAAAGTTTACTTTTACTTAGAAACATAGACTATGGGATATAGGAGGTTAATTGCCCGTTAGCATACTGTACAAACAATGAATTCTGGTGAAACCGTACAGTGTAATGTTCTAGTTATAAACTGTTTATAGTTTATTCAAAGATGACAGGAGAAACAAGCTTTCTATATGTTTCTCAGAAAAATCATACTTTTCATATGTTTCTCGATATTAGCATAATTTCTCCATGTTTCTCGGCATTAGCATACTTACTCTATGTTTCTAAAATAAAAGTAAACTTTCTATATGTTTCTCAGTAAAAGCATACTTCCATAGTCTATGTTTCTCAGTAAAAGCATACATTAGCAGAAAAGCACTATGTTTCTCACTGTTTATGTCATGAACTTTATACTGTATGTGAACTACTCACCAGCATCCTGTACTGTGAGAACATTTTTTCTAAATATATTTATCAGTGTTTGTTTAAATTAAATCAACATTACATTCCTTTGATTTAACAGTCCTTTAGTTTAACAGCGAAAACCATTTCATTTCTCTAGAATTTGTAGCACTTATTTTATGTCATATAATAACCAAAGTAAAAAATAATACAAATTAACTCATCATGGAAATTATACCTCCCTCGTGACTAATCAATAGACCTGAAATATGATTGAACACTTACAGAAATTCAGCCATTTCCTACAAGAAGTCACAAGACACTGAACAGACAACTTGATTTTTAAACAATTGTAGGGGGTAGCTCTGAAGGTTATTCATAATAGTATGTCCGATTGGTGTTGGAATATAGTTATGTGATGATGGTTTCATGAAACGACCTATAGAATATATAATATTAACATTATTCAGTGTTGTAATAACCCTCTACAGGGAGCTTAGTCATGATGTTAGTGTCACAAGTAAATTGGTATTTTGGGATCTTGTACATTTAGCATCAGACACCAGGTGGTTGGAAAGGATTTGTGTTTTGATGCCTGGCTAATAAACCAAATTCCAAGCAATAATATCACATGTATAGAAAACACTCTAACACAGAGTTTTAAATGTTTCCTTTCACTTCTCTCAAAAAATGAAAACTATTTTATTTTTAACTTAAAATCTGGATTATGTCTCATGCTACTACTTTCCTGGAAAGAGAATATAAGGAATTCCTTTCATTACAGAATAATACCTCAGAATAATCCTTCTAATTCAGAACTAATAAGATCAGATTAACAGAAGCTCCATAAAGAAGCCCTTGTAATCCAGAACTACATACCTCAGACTGATATAAGTGCCATGAAAAAGCCCTTCTAATCCAAAGCTACATACTTCAGATTAACAGAATAAATGACTAATATTAATTAAAAAAATATCTTTCTTTTGATAAATAATTAAGAAATGGTACCTTACAAGAATTGTTATTATTATTTAAGTAGGTTAACCTAATTCATTAACTAATAACAAATGATAAATCAGAATGTGCTCTTCAGCTGACCATGATTTGTTTTAGAAACTACATTTTTTAAGTAATAGATATTGACATTAGTACTGATGGTTTAGTTCAGTTTTGATTTATTAAAAAAAAAAGATCATCAACAAATTAATGTCACATTTTGGAACTCTTTCATTAACCACCCCCAAAAAACGTACATCATGTATAATAGTTAAACAAACTTCCTAAACATCACGTTAGTGTAGCCTGTATAATGTGTAAAGTTTAGTATAATCCCTTTTAATGATGGCACAAGACGAGACACATTTGGCATGTAATCCTGTTTGTATACAAAAAGGGAGACAACGTCTCTGTAGCCACATAGAATATCAAAGAAGTTTATGGAAATGTTTTGAATGTTCATAAGTGTCAATGATGGTTCAGCAAATATCGTTTAGGTGACTTTCGCCTTAAAAACTGTGATGGCAGGGGCCGACATGTTGGAATTTATATTGATGCTCTAAAAATGCTTGTTGAGTCTAACCCAAGGCAACACGCTCATGAAATGGTCCTGAAATTGCATACCTCTCATGAAACAATATTTAAACATCTAAGAAATATGAGAAAACTCCATAAAGAAATTGTTTGATTATAGTTTCCAACATGTGAATGTTGCTTCATCTCTTCTGGTGCGTAATGCACATGAACCATTTTTGGACTGGATTGTCACCAGTGATGAAAAATGGATTAAATATTAAATGCCTAAAACAATGGCTCAGTCCTAGACGAAAACCACTTCTGACCAGAAACCTGGACTCCATCCACAGAAAGTGATGCTTTGCATTTTGGTGAGACATCAAAGGAGTAATTCAGTTAA